GCATGCATTTACTCACTTGGCCGAACTGATTTTCCGCAGTCATCCAGCGGAACTGAGGTGAAATTGCGAAGTTTTGAAAGAACTCCACTTCCTGTTTTACCAACTGGTCACACACGGAGTCGAAGAGTATGGAAAAACTTTCTTTGTCAATTTCATAATCATCGTCTTCTTCGGACAAAGGGTGAACACCTTCCAAGGGTTGCTTTCATGTTAGCACACGCAGCAAGCAACAAAAGAGGAAAAAACACGTGTGTGAAATTCATGGGGCCCATCATTATTTGATTCTGCCTCTTTCAAAAGCCGTTTCCACGTAGAAATCTTGAGGGGAATTTGACGGGAAATAATAACGCCGCTTCTTATGTCCCGGAAATCCGAGACCTCAGGACAGACTAATTTTCTGCAAATGTTCCTGTACATATCCATGGATCCCTGTTGATTTGTCGGGCCAAGGTCGAACGCGTGTCGAACCTTTGATGGTTCCCTGTCGATTCTACCGTACGGCTGCACTGCAATGATCTTCCATCAGCGTGATCAAGCTCGAGTAAGAAGGATTAAGTCATCTTCAGGAAATGCGCAACCGGATGCGAAGGGCGATTCCGGTTGGGTGTCATGGCTGCATGTGATGTCAATGAGTTCCGTTGACGTGGAAAGCTTTCCAAGATCACAAGCAGTTCATGCGTCATGTTGCATTCGAATTTGCCAACATTGTTTTCATTTCAATCCCCGTATTTCAAGAAAAATGGCACAGCCAATTTAGATTTCTTAAAAGATTTCCCCAAGGAAATATTGTAGTTTTTAGGAGTAAAACACCACAATCAGCCCGAGACAGGCACAGAGCGTATTAATTATAGAGAATGAAAGAAATTGATATTTATGTATGTCCCAAAAGAATCAACAACTCAGCATCTTCGACAAATACACAGACACACACACAATAATGCACCCAATTTCCATGAGAACATTGGTTGAATATTTTGCAGTGGAAGCTAAGAATGGGAATGTACTATTGATTTCAAGTTTTTGATGCTTTTGTGCATTATACAGGAAGGGTTGTGTTGAACTTGCTCTTGGTGAAGGTTGGGATTCTTTGCTGCTTTCAGATTGGCCATTTATGTCAAAATCAAAGTTACTGCTGTGCAGCATGGAGTACAAGTTTCCAAGGATTTAAGGGACACGTTATTTGGTGCTTGGATGCTCCAGAAGCCAACAGCATGGTTAATGGGAAGCTGGGTGGTTAATTATATTCAATTACTGCCACGCGCCACAGTCCCAAGCATGATTGAGGGAAAAATAATACAGGTGGACCCTTTCTACGACAGAATTCAAGGGAATAGCAAAAAAGTTTGTTGCAGAAGACATTTTATTGGAGAGAGAACTCTATGGAACCTAAAAAATTCACTATATATAGGGAGAAAATTGTAGAGTATTGAGAATGTTGTCTTTTCCATGCTGAAGCAAAGGAACACCTGTGCATCAAAAGGTTTAGATTTTAAACCTATTTTTTTATTATATTTTTTATTTTAGAGGTGAAAGAAAGTACATCAAACTACTTGGGACCAGGGTTAAAAATTTTTTATAATTAAAGTATAAATTTATAACTGCATTTGTCTTCACAATGAATTTCTGAACGCAAAATTCAAAAAATACCTCTCAGTGATCACTCACACAATCAATTTCCAGAACAGTTCAGATTGGATTGATTGTAGACAAAAAAAAAGGAATTTCTATTGATTTGTTACAGTGGCCTTGACCCATTATTGAAGGTGAAGGATCAGGCAATTTTCCAGGACTGGGATTGGCCAAGAAAATTGAAGTCAAAGATGTTCTGGCACCAGCAAAAGCATCAAATCTGGACGATGGTCAAAATGATTGTATTATATATTTGCGCCGACTCAAATTAGCATATGATTCACGAGAATCGTCCCCACGTAATCGTAGCGACAATTAGGAATGGTTTCAGGCCGAAAGGTTTCTGCTTAGGTGCAGAATTGCAAAATCTTCCAAGGCAATAACAGCCCCATTGTCGGTTCCCAGGGTGACGTCCGCAATGTTCCACGTCAATCCCTCTGACGCACTGTTTGCTTGAGACGAACTCTGTAAAATATCAAGAACGAAATAAGCAACGCTTCTTTTTGAATGACCAAGAATCACGTGAAGTTTGCATACTTCTTGTCGCGTCGGTGAAGAATGTTGCGCAACCTGGCATGTAGAATGTCGGGTTGCATGTGATGTTGTGCATTCGATGCAAACAGTCATAGTGATCTCTGCACCCGAAGCACTGCAAGTGACCCATTGCTGTGCAGAAATAAAAGTTTCTAATAAATCTTAGCACGTAGTAGGCTGATCTGTAGTATGTTAGTCGCGTAATTGAAGGACGGAATGAAAATTCAAGCAGCCGTTCCAGGTTGAAACTTCAGACCATGAATAAACATAATCTGTGGAAGAAAAATTCGGTATTCGCAAGCAACAAGGTTTTTGCGAAGCACTGCAAGTGACCCATTGCTGTGCAGAATCCAAATTTTCCAATAAAATGCAACTGCTGTTCAAGTCTACTTATTGTGAACTTATCTGTTTGGTATTTACTTCACTAAAAGGCGGAATTTAAATTCAAGCAGCCATCCTAGGAAGAAACTTCCGGCAGGAGTGAATCGGAACATTTTCGAAGAAACAGTCGGTTTATTCAAGCACCAAAAACAATTGCAATCGGACTTTGGTTTTTAATCAAGAGGTTCTTATGTTGATTACAAAGCATTCCACATGAATGAAAAAGTGTCAATTCCGTTTACTGAAATATCCAGCTTATACGTCAGTGAGACTTTAAAGTTCAGAGTTTTTTTGCAAAAATTTGAGTGTGGCATGGAAATGAGCTAATATTTTCAATTTTTAGCCGTAACACAGGAATAACAAAATATACATTTATTTAATTATATTCACGCTAATTTTCATAAAATTTACTCACGTTTTGGGACGATTTCGTCTGGATGATCACCCCGAGCATCAATTAAACTAAGTAGAAAGAAAACGAAGAACACAATGGTAAGAATTTGCACGAAAATCGTGTTTTTGCGTCTCATCATATTTGAACGTTCTTGAAGACGTAGCATTAGAAGGGTAATGACCAGATTCTCTCAGAACGAAGAAAACGAATCCCTCATTAGAATAACAACTTCAAGTTCATCAATACCTGAAGCAGATTACCCCCCGATG